GATGCCACTGTATAGGGTGCAGCTCTCAAGGATTGGGTGCAGCTATGACATGGTTCAATATCACACTTATATTTGCTCCTTTATTTATTAAATTCTAGAGAGATTCAGGAAAATAAGTTAAGCACAAGTTTAGAAAATAAATCAAAGAACATATTGTATTTGAAATCTGCCCTAACAGTAATAAACCCACTATGTCCAATTCTACATTAGACTAGTGTCAAGAACAAATTTTACGACACACACACATTTCAGCTAGAAGCCTTTTGAGGCTTACAAAGGAGACAGTTCAAGGAAGGGATATGACTCATGTCCCTTTTACACTTCCAGAGTTACAGATGAATGCATGTGAACGCTGACACCAATTAATAGCTAACCTTTTCATAAGAGTTTTCAGTTGATATACCATAACACTGAAAGATAATGAACTGCACAATTATTGCTGTATAAACACAATACATGTACATGTTTCAAGTGTTTAAGTAAAAGTAAATGGCAATGATATACACTGCCAGAGTTGTTCAAACTGAACAATGAGAGGTAAATTAAAAACATGGACTCTCCTTCAATTGTCAATAAAACTTCTGAGAAATAACGGAACACTCAATTTGCATATCAGATTACTTGAGTTATTTTTTAAATACAAAAGCCTAAAATATTGATTGTGGCTGTTAGTGCAGCAAGAATAAAAGCTATCATGAGGCCTATTTTAAAGATGCGGAGCAAAATAACCTGAGCATTCATTCTTACCTAGGCAAGTAACTGGTGTCAGGCCTCCACACCAGCTCTGCAAGGAAGGTATTCAAATCAGAAATGTAGAGGAAGCACCACGCAGTTCCAGTACTTAATCATTATTCCACCCCAAATAAGCCCAGGAGTAAGAAAATTTACCATCTATACTATACCAATTCCTCAAAGGAGGAGCAGATTTAGAGTTTAGAGCTGAAGTCCAGATAAATATTTGTTTTGATATTGAGGGACTTGGGAATTTTAAGGATAAGAACTGACTTTTTTTTAAAGCATCAGTTGATATAATTCTTTCTTGCAAATGATTTTAATGTAGGACAGTTCTGTGTGATTACACTTGCTGCATTACCTCAATAGTGTGCAAGTGCCTTTAAAAATTAATCCCTTAATAAAGAGTGAAGAAAATTCCTCATATCTCTTTTAGAAAACAAGATAAATTCTCAATATATTATGTTTAATGTAGACTTTAAATACACTTCTAATATATATTTAGTGTCGGTCGATGTAATTACTTTATATCTCACACATACTTTACATATACATCCAATATTTGGACAAATACAATATACAGAAGATCTCATTAATAGACTTTGCATGTAGAACCATTTTAGTTTATATCACAACTGAAATTTGCATGATCAAATACAGGCTAGATATATGAATTGCTTTTCCTTGAAGTTACACTTGCAATAGGTGGCATGTCTAGAACAGGACCTGAGTAAGCACCAAGAACCCAGAATTTAGTCCCATGCTAACTGAACCAGCCTGTGCAAACATAGAAGAGAGACTTTAGACCGCTACCTACCCAAAGAGTTAATTCCCTGAATAATCAAGTTTGAGCTATGGTTTGTACATTAAAACATACTGTAAGGTTAGTTTTTTTTTTAAATCTATTCCATTTTCCTTAATTCAGTCCACCAAAACAATCCCGACACCTAATATTGCAAACGTTTGGATGTACCTGCTGGCTTTAAAAAACACAAGACTGGGTGACACCATAATGCCCTCTTCATTTCAAAGTGCATTTTAAAAACAATATTTGTAAACAAAAAATTATTGTAGAACTCAAATTGAAGGCTAAAAGCTAACAGTTTTCAATTGCAAGTGGTGTCACACTGTGTGTATTAAAATAATCAGAGGAGATATTAACTGCTGCCCTTCACTAAGGTGGGTACCTTTTCAGCTGTTAAAGGTTTTTGCTATTTTAATCCTCAAGTGCAGGAAGAAGGTCAGCTATGCTATCAACATAGTAATCGGGAACCAGATTTTTCCTGGAAGGGCAGTCACTCTCCTGGTGACCTTTTACTTCATCCAGAGTAGTGACTCCAGTGAGAGTCAAGAGGGTGGTGAGGCCACAGTTATTGCCCATGAGGATGTCTGTGTCCAGTCGATCTCCCACCATGATTGTACGAGCAGGATCGATCTTGAACTCACTCGCCACGCAGTCAAAAATATATCGGCTGGGTTTGCCTATGATGAATGCCTCACGTTCTGCTGCCATCTCCACTGCTTTTACAAGACAGCCAGTCCCTGAAGGCGAAAGAGAAATGCTAAGTGAAATATAGGACAGGACTTGTGAAACTCCAGTGCTGCACTGCATGGCATTTCAGAAGTGCAACCCCAGTATTAAGACCTAATGATGGGCAAGAGGCAGCTCAGGCTACTGGGGACCACTGCCCCCAAAACAGATCTAAGCTCCACTGGAGAGCAGGCAGCCCTGAACCATGGAGTCAGGAGAACAATGTAGTCCCTTCCCCAGCCAGCATCAGAATGCTGGTTTCTACACAGCTGTAAACAGTGATACACAGAAAAGACACCTGCTCCCAACACTTGTAGTGGCATTGAGAGCCCCACATACAAGCAGCATAGATGTCCCCCCCCCACCACCAAAAAACAGCAGCAGACTCAAGTGATGCATAAAGTCATAAAAATAAAGCCATCACACTCACCGTTCTTGCAACAAAGAAAGGATCAAGAAACTAAAAAGTTACAGGATGCTAATAAAGACCACATTGCTCAGGAAAGCATTTTCCACTTACAATAACTTGGGGTGAGCTGGAGAGTAAGGCAGCTAATGGCAAAGCTAAGGGAAGGTTAAAATAGCAACTACAAAGGGTTCTTTGGTGCAAGAACATAGAGAAGGGCACTTTCCTTATTACAATACTGCAGAGCAGCGGGCTGGCAGGGATGTGCCATGTAGCTGTGTGACTGCGCTGAGCATCAGCACGTGACCGGGTCGAAGGAGTTACAGACAGCACACAAGTGCAGCAGATGGGAGATCAGGTGTCACCACATTGCCTACCCAAGGGGGCTGCCTTGACCCACGGGTGCCAATGCATTGCCTGGCTGAAAGGGTTGTGGACGGGCATGGAGCTGCATGACGGTTTGACCCGGCGTGCCAGCGCACCAGCCAGCTGCAGATGGGGCCCGGAGGTTAAAATCGCGACCTCACGCGCCCTGCAGGCGGGGAAGCGAGCCAGAGGGAGGACACATCTGGGGTGACGTTTCAAGCTCAACCCTCCCTTGTGCAACGCCGCCCCGCAACACA